TCCAGGTTGTGCGAGTCAGCTTTCAAGTGATATTATTTCTAGCACCCACTTTTTGCCTAATAGTCAAGCAGTGCTTCTTGTGAGTCAGAGCCTGGTCTAGGGTAACTCCCAGGTATTTTGGTGTGCTGCAATGATCCAGTGGGATTCTTTCCCAGGTAATACTCAGAGCTCAAGATGTTTGTGTGTTCTTAAGATGAAAAACACACGTTTGTGTTTTAGATGGGCTAGGAATCAGTTAGTTTTCCCTGTAATAGGTAGCAAGACAACCTAGAGCTTTGGAGAGCTTCTGTTCAACCATTTCAAAGCTTCTTGCTTGAGTGGTGATGGCACAATCATTAACATAAATGAAACTCTCTGTCCCTTCCGGCAGTGGCTGATCATTTGTGTAAATGTTTGAGGGTTTGGGGGTATCTTCCAGTCATCAAAGGCTTTCATGGCCGGAATCACTGGGGTGTTGTGTGGTTCGGTGACACAATATCCCAGGATCTTCAAGTATCTTGCTACTGATGGCAACCCTGTTTAACTGAGGTTAAAAGAGTGCATCTTATAGAATTAATGCAGTTTAATGCCACTTGAACTGTCCTGGCTCAATTCTATGGAACCTTGAGAGTTGTACTTTGGTAAAGTCTTTAGCCTTCTTTGCCCAAGAGTGCTGGTGCTTCATCAAACTACAAAATCCAGGATTCCATTGCATTGAGGCATGGCAATTAAAGTGGGGCCAAACTGCATTAAGTCTACAGTGTCTGCACCTGAAAGATTTGCGATTTCACCAAGGTTCAAATGGACATATGAACCATGTTCTCCAGAGTTGTAGTCTAATAACTCAAACCACTATATCTCACTGGCTTCATACCTTGGATGGTAGGAAGGGTGTACTGTATGCACTGGTATGCTTTTTTGGGCTTCTGCTCACACGTGTGGTTGTGTCTCTTCAAATCAACTTCAATTTCTGGGGACCTTGAGCACATCTGCACTGTAGACTTAATGCAGTTTGACACCACTTCAACTGCCATGGCTCAATAGCATGGAATCATGGGGGTTGCATGACAAGGTATTTAGTTTTCTCTTTCAAGCAGTGCTGGTGACTCACCAAACTACAGCTTCCAGGATTCCACAGCATTGAGTCATGGCACTCAAAGTGGTGTCAAGCTGCATACAATGTGGATATATCCTTCATCACAAGGTAAGATTTCACCAGAGGAGATTTCTCCTTGCCTTCCTCTGAGGGGAGAGAGACTTCCCAAAGTCACCTCGTGGGTTTCAATGCCCAAGAAAGGATTTAAATCTGAGTCCCCATGATCAGAGTCCAACATTCAAACCAAGCTGGCCTTCCTCAGCTCCATTTCTTGCCATTTTGTGGTCATTGGAAGGTCAGTTTGCAAATGTGAGACACACCTCTGATGAAAGCCCACTTCAGACATAGAAGGTAATATTACCTTCATTACTGTGTCTGTCTAGGTTTACCCACCACCTTTCACTGGGCTTTTAACACCCAAGATGTTTATTTCTTCCTAAGGTCCCTCAGTGGGCTTCCATTGCTAAAAAGGGATTCAAACCTACTCAAGAGTCAGAGGGCCTTCCACACAGCCCTATATCAGGGCAGAAAATCCCACAATATTTGCTTTGAACTGGGTTATCTGAGTCCATACTCAGATAATGTGGGATTTTGTGCCTTGATACTCTGGGATATAGGTCTGTGTGGAAGGGCTCAGAGTCACACAAATCACTGCACTCCAAATATGCGGTGAACAGTTTTGCTTTTGAGTAAATGGATTGGGATCACATTATATGATGGACTTCTTGTCCTCACAATTTATTACATTTTTATTCCCAGCTTATGGACCTCCCTCCTTCGGGAGATAATACCATTTACATCCTCATGACAACCTTGCGGAGACTGGATACATTATTCTTTTGGACTTGAGTGGCCAGAAAAGTTTTCACCATGCCCAGAGAGTCATAGACTCACACAGGACCCTTCTACACAGCCATATAATCCAGACTATCAAAGCAGATATTCCACATTATCTGCTTTGCACTGGAGTATCGAAGTCTACACTGTCTGATAATCCAGTTCAAAGTAGATAATCTGGATTTTATACAGCTGTGTAGAAGGGGTCGCAGTTGAAGGGACCCTAAGGACCATCAGGGCCAACAGAGCAGGAACCAAGAGGTGGCCATATAGTCTTTGTTTAAAAATCCACCTTCCTAGGCAGTTCATTCCAAGGCTGGACTATAAGAACATTGTTTAGTATAAATGTCCTTTCTTGTCATCTGAATCAAATAGTTTGTGTCTGGCATGGCAGAAAACAAGCCTGCTCTGCTTTCTACATCCCATTTGAAGATCTCAATCTCTTATTTTCTCAAGATAAACATTCCAACTCCTTTCTCCATTTCTCTTACGATTTGGCTTCCAGAACGTTTCCTATCATGTTCACTCTCTTCTGGATGTGTTGCAGCTTGTCAATATCTTGAAAACTGTACTGCCCCAAATTGTAAACAGTATTCCAGAGGTGTATGCAGTGACCCTGTGTAGCACCTTTGAGATTGAGAGAAAGAAGTTGCAAACATAAGATTTCATAGACTAGTCTATCATCTGGTTTTGGCTTTTTTTTTGTGTCAGGAGAGACTTGAGAAACTGTAAGTCACTTCTGGTGTGAGAGAATTGGTCATCTGCAAGTACGTTGCCCAGGGGATGCTCAGGTGTGTTACCACCTGTGGAGGGCTTCTCTCATCTGATATTATAATAACACTGGGGTTTGGTACTCATCACCATTTCTAAGCCAAAGAGCCAGCAAGGTCATGTAGCTGGCTTGACTGCATGGAGCGCCGCTACCTTCCTGCTGGAGCAATACATATTGATCTACCCACATTTGCATGTTTTCGAACTGCTAGGTTGGCAGAAGCTGGGGCTAACAATGGGATCTTACCCCGCTCCCTGGATTCAAACCTGCAACCTTTTGGTCAGCAAGTTCAGCAGCTCAGCGGTTTAACCCACTGTGCCACAGGGGGAAATTAATAATACTATTGATAATTTTGTGTGATCCCATTTGGGATCGGAATCCACAATTTAAGAAGTAGTAGATTAGAGCATTCTGGGGCCTATGCTATCCCAAAGTAAGCCATTCTGTGGTGATAGTATGATAGCTGGGTCTGGAAGCTCAGAGCATTATGCACATTCCTCAATGGTGGTTGTGAATAATGGAAGGGGAGAGTGGCACACTGAGGGTGGGAATATAATTCGTAGTTGCATTTGGTGGAAGGATAGAAAGGAGGGGAGGGTTAGGATAAGGTTTAGGGTAAGGGTTAGGATTAGGGTTAGGGGTTAGGCTTTGGGTTAGGGTTAGGATTAGAGTTAAGGTTCAGGGTTAGGCTTAGGGTCAGGTTTAGGGCAAAGGTTAGGGTTCAGGTAAGGGTTCGGGTTTTACCATTAAAGAACTCTTACATTCCTTCTATAACAGGGGTCCTCAAACTAAGGCCCGGGGGCTGGATACGACCCTCCAAGGTCATTTACCCAGCCCTCGCTTAAGGTCAACCTAAGTCTGAAACGAAGTCCAAAGAAGGAGCCTCCACTACCCTCCTCTCTGCCCCAGAGAGTGGTGGAGGCTCCTTCTTTGGAGGCTTTTAAACAGAGGCTGGATGGCCATCTGTCGGGGGGGGGGGGGGCTTTGAATACATTTTTCCTGCTTCCTGGCAAAATGGGGTTGGACTGGATGGCCTGCCAGGTCTCTTCCAACTCTAGGATTCTAGGATTCTTGAATTTGAAAGCACACAACAACAGGAACAACCCTATCTCATCAGCCCAAAGCAGTCCCACGCTTCCCATCGCAAGACTAATAAGTTTATAGCCTTCGACAATACATTAATAAGTTTATATTTGTTAAGATTGCTCTTCATTTCAATGATTGCATTGTTTTTAAGTGGTTTTTTTTGCACTACAAATAAGAAATTGGGCAGTGTGCATAGGAATTCATTCATGCTTTTTTCAAATTATAATCTGGCCCTCCAACAGTTTGAGGGACTGTGACCTGGCCCTCTGTTTAAACAGTTTGAGGACCCCTGTTCTATAATATCTATGTTCCGTTCTGCGTTGCGCAAACAGTGTTCCCGAAGGAGTGAATCGGAAACAGCGTAACATTCAGAACTTCTGGACCCAGCTATCATACTATTATCCATTTTGGCATATTTACCCCATTGCATTTTTGGAGAGAGGGACCCAGTTTGGTGTAGCAGCCTGAGCATCACCCTGGGACACTTGGGAGAGCAGGATTCAAATCCTGGCTCTGCCAAGAAAACATACTTGGGCAAGCCTCAGATGAAAACAAGGCCAACTCCTCTCTCATGCCACTCCCTGGATTCGAACCTGCGACCCTTTGGTCAGCAAGTTCAGCAGCTCAGAGGTTGAACCCACTGCGCAACTGGGGGTAATTAATACTATTGATAATTTTGTGTGATCCCATTTGGGATTGGAATCCACAGTTTAAAAAGTAGTGGATTAGGGCATTCTGGGGCCTATGCTATCCCAAAGTAGGTCATTTTGGCATATTACCCCATTGCATTTTTGGAGAGACTCAGTTTGGTGTAGCAACTTGAGCATCACACTGGGACACTTGGGAGAGCAGGATTCAAATCCTGGCTCTGCCAAGGAAATCTACTGGGTGACCTTGGGCAAGCTTCAGATGAAAGCAAGGCCAGCTCCTCTCTCACGCCACTCCCTGGATTCGAACCTGCGACCCTTCGGTCAGCAAGTTCAGCAGCTCAGAGGTTGAACCCACTGCGCCACCAGGGGCTCCAATAATAATAATAATATATACCCTCGCATATTATAATAATGCACTTGTTTCTTAGCCGCTTCTTCTCGGGACGGAGATACAACGTTGTAAGTCAGCTTTTCGGGAGAAGGGGAGGCAGGGGGAGGCGTGGCAGAGCCGCCGCCCCGCATCTTGCGACGCCAGAGCCTAGTGGGCAGCTCCCCGTCTCCCTCCCTCCCTCCCTTCCCTCCTTGCATCTCAGGCCGGCTCTTCTGCTGCTGCTCCTGCGTCGAAGCGCCTTGTTGGGCTCCAGAGAGCGCTCTGCCTCTGCTCCAGAGAAGCAGCAGCCGCCTGGAGCCGAGGCTTCTTCTCGCCCCGTTGCGGCGGCTGATGGGCTCCTTCCATCCAGAGGCCGGCAGCTGCAGCCCCGTCGGAGTCCAGGTAGGGACGAGAAAAAACTTCCCTCCTGGTAGCCGCCTTCTCCTTTGTGTGCCTGCCTAGCTCTGCTGCAGAGCCCCAAGTCCCTCCCTCCTTCCTTCCTTCTCTCTCCCAGATCCGATCTTGGGGGGTTTCTTATCATCTCAAGCCCAGAAAGGAGGCGGAAGATGCCCAGGTGTCTCTGTGTTTGTGAGACTATGCTGCGGCCAGGAAGGGCTATCCCAGGGCGGGACTGGGCGCTGCGTTCAAAGCCCGTTCCCGCCAAGCTGGGGCTACGACTCATAAGAACTCTTTTCGCAGCAATCCCGCTTCTTCCTCGCTGGTTCTTTCCCTCGGGTGTAGACAGCGGCGGCTCTCTTTGGGATTGGGTCCAGAGGGGAGAAACGGGACCGAAATACAAAGATAAAGCTCACTCTGCACTGTAAAATGAGTGTAGTTTGATTCCGCTTCAACTACCACGGCTCAATGCTATCGAATCCTCAGATGTGTAGTGTGGGAAGGCAAGAGGCAGCAGCACTCTTGGGCAGAGAAGGCACTCACCTTTAGAAGCTACAACTCTCAGGATTCAAGGGGGTGTCAAACTGCATTCACGCAACAGCAGGACTCTTGGGGAGAGAAGTTACAAGTCCTGAGAAGCTCCAACTCTTAGGATTCCATTGCACTGAACCATAATATTTCAAGGGGTGACCAACTGCATTAATGCTATAGCACACTCTTGGGGAGAGAAGGGCACATGCCTTGTAAAGCTACAACTCTTAGGATTCCATTGCACTGAACCATAGTTGTTCAAGGGATGCCAAACTGCACTCATGCTACAGCAGGACTCCTGGGGAGAGAAGGCTACCTGCCTTGAAAATCTCCAACTCTTAGGATTCAGTTGCACTAAACCATGGTAGTTCAAGGGGTGTAAAACTGCATTCACTCTACAATAGCACTCTTGGACAGAGGAGGCTACACACCTTGTGAAGCTGCAGCCTCCAACTCATAGGATTCTATTGCACTGAACCATGGTATTCAAGGGATGTCAAACAACATTCAAGCTACAGCAGGACTCTTGGGGAGAGAAAGCTACAAGCCTTGTGAATTTCCAACTCTTAAGATTCCATTGCACTGAACCATAGTCATTCAAGGGGTGTCAAACTGCACTCATGCTACAGCAGGGCTCTTGGGCAGAGAAGGCTACACGCCTTGTGAAGTTCCAACTCTTAGGATTCCATTGCACTGAACCATAGTAATTCAAGGGGTGTCAAACTGTATTCACGCTATAGCAGTGTTGTCCAACATGTGGCCCTCCAGGTGTTTTGCTCTTCAGCTCTCAGAATTCCCAGCCATTGGACAAGCTGCTTCAGGTATTCTGGGAGTTGGAGACTGAAGCATTTGGAGAGCTTCAAGTTGGACACCCCTGCTTTACAAGTCGCCTCAGGCATCCACATCCACACACCCCTTTTCTTTGTTTCAGGCTCTTGGGCTCTTCTCAGACTGAATAAAACACTATCAAGAGTTGTCAAAGGCTTTCATGGCCAGAATCACTGGGTTGCTGTGAGTTTTCTGGGCTGTAGGGCCATATTCCAGAAGCATTCTGTCCTGGCTCTAAAAAGACAATGAATAGAGAGCAACACCCAAAAAGCAGAGAAATTCCAGATGAGAATCAATCAGGACCAACTAACACCTCCCAACAAAGGATTTCCCCAGGCAGCAACCAGCCAGGCTTTGAAGCTGCAAGGTCATTAAATGCTAATCAAGGTGGCCATTGGCAACATTCACACCTGCCTCAAGTAGACAAGAGTTCTTTCTCCCACCCTGGACTTTCCACAGATATATAAACCTCACTTGCCGAGTTTCCAACAAATCCCTCAACCTCTGAGGATGTCTGCCATAGATGTGGGTGAAATATTGGGAGAGAATGCTTCTGGAACAGGGCCGTACAGCTTAGAAAACCCATAGCAACCCAGTGTAAAGAGTGCCCCAGAACCCATGCAGAGTGCTTGACCCTAAGCAAGACACTCACTGGTTAAAAAGGGGGAATTGTCCGCTTGTGTTTTCGAGGAATTTTCTAGCCTTAGGCACAAAACTGGTGTTGTCATTTTTGACAGCTGAGAGGCAATTCTCACACACATTTCTTCCCACTGTGAAAGGGGTTCCTTGACTGGAATTTTAGTGGTTTTCTCCTGTTAGACGTCTCTTTGAATAAACATGGTTGGTTTTGTATCATTTGAATTAGACCAGCCATGGGCAAACTTGGGCCCTCCAGGTGTTTTGGACTTCAACTCCCACCATTCCTAACAGCCTCGGCCCCCTTCCTTTTCCCCCTCAGCCGCTTAAGCCCAAGTTTACCCATGGCTGGGTTAGACAGTTGTTGTTGTTGCTGCAAGTTATTTCTGACTCACCGGATTTTTTTGACAAGATTTGTTCAGAGTGAGCTTCCCTATGCACTTCCTTATGAGGTTGAGAGAGTGTCACCCAATGGGTTTCCAGAACTGAGCAGGGATTTGAACCCGGTCTCTAGAGCTGTAATCCAATTCTCAAACCACTGCCCCATGCTGGTTGGATGAACGTTAAGCTATAAAGCCCATTTGTTGCATTTCAGAACTTCCTCGGAGGCCTTGGGTTCAACCTGCTTTATGATTTGCTGGCTTTTAAAGTATAGGTCATCCTTTCCAAGGTAAATTACACTCATTGTAATAGAAAGCAGGCAGATCTCTAGGAAAAGCTTCTGGCAGCATCTTTGCAACATAACTCTAACCTGTTTACTTTGATTTCCGAATTAAAAATCAGGGGAGTTTTAAAAATATTTTTTGTACTGCATGATGCAAATATTTATTCCTAGGAGCAACAGTAGTAGGGTTCTGCTTATTTACTGCTGTGCCTGTTTAAAGAATTGGGCTTTTTTTGTTTAATGTAAGAGTTGCGTGCTCCTTGGCTGGAAAGATGGGTTATGGCACTGTGAGTTTTCTGAATGCCTCACCTTGTTTATGAATAGAAATGCTGGGGTGGGAGAGCATTTCATAAATTTTCTCCACCAAGAGGAGAAATCTTCCAACTGTTTCTCCAGCATGGGATCCACCACCACCAATGACAGGAACACAGCCCCCGGTGGCACAATGGGTTAAAACCTTGTGCCGGCAGGACTAATGACTAAAGGGCGGAGATTCAAATCTGGGGAGATCATAGATGAGCTCCCTCTGTCAGCTCCAACTCTCCATGCAGGAACATGAGAAAAGCCTCCCACAAGGATGGTAAAACATCAAAACATCCGGACATCCCCTGGGCAACGTCCTTGCATATGGCCAATTCTCTCAAACCAGAAGCAACTTGCAGTTTCTCAAGTTATTCCTGACACACACACACACACACACACACACACACACACAAAGCTCTACATTTTTCTTTTGGAAGGCCCTAAATATCCTAAAGGCACCAAATCCCACCTAACCTTGAAAGATAAGCAGGATCTGCCCTAGTTAATACCTGGATGGGAGACCATCAATGAATACCTGGTGCTGAAGGCTATATTTTAGAGCAGGCATGGGCAAACATCAGCCCTCCCGGTGTTTTGGACTTCAACTCCCACAATTCCTAACAGCCTCAGGCCCCATCCTTTTCCTCTCAGCTGAGGGGGGGAAGGAAGGGGGCTGAGGCTGTTAGGAATGGTGGGAATTGAAGTCCAAAAACACCAGGAGGGCTGAAGTTTGCCCATGTCTGTTTTAGAGGAAAGAACTTGTAAAAACCCCTCAGAGTATTCCTTGCTTAACCCTATGAAACACATAGAGTCGCATTTTGCTTTGTCTCAAAATGATAGCAGCAGCTATATCAGTGTTTCTCAACCTGGGGGTCAGGACCCCTGGAGAGGGGGTGCAAGGGGGTTTCAGAGGGGTTGCCAAAGACCATCAGAAAACATATATATCTCTGATGGTCTTAGGAGCCCCTTTGGTAGACAAACCTGAAGATCTCTCCGCCTTTTCTTCTCTTCCTTTTTGGAAACAGATGGCAAATCTTCCCACCAAAAGCCCTCCTCCACTGTGATTGGCCAGCCTCTCAGCCAAGAGGAGGGCTGTTTCTTAGACTCCAAGCAGGGAGTGGAGAACAGCCACATTGGGCGCATGGCAACATGGTGCGCATGTGTGGGTCAGGGAGAGCGCACAAGGCTGGATGGAGACTCTTGCCAGTGAGTCCCTTCAAGGCATGGGAGTTCTGTGTGGGAAGTTTGGCCCAATTCTATGGTTGGTGGGGTTCAGAATGCTCTTTGTAGGTGAATTATAAATCCCAGCAACTACAACTCCCAAATGTCAAGGTCTATTTTCCCCAAATCCCACCAGTGTTCACATTTGGGCATATTGAGTTTTTGTGCCAAGTTTGGTCCAGATCTATCACAGTGCCCTCTGGATGTAGGTGAACTACATCTCCAAAACTCAAAGACAATGCCCACAAAACCCTTCCAATATTTTATGTTGGTCATGGGAGTTCTGTGTGCCAAGTTTGGTTCAATTCCATTGTTGGTGGAGTTCAGAATGCTTTTGATTGTATTTTAACTATAAATCCCAGAAATAACAACTCCTTTTCTTTTCTTTTCAACTCCTAAATGACGAAATCAATCCCCCCGGCTGCATCAGTATTCAAATTTGGGCATATTGGGTATTTGTGCCAAATTTGGTCCAGTGGATGAAAATACATTTTGCATATCAGATATTTACATAACAGTAGTAAAATTACAGTTATGAAGTAGTAACAAAAATAATTTTATGGTTGGGGGTCACCACAACCTAAGGAACTGTATTAAGGGATTGTGGCATTCAGAAGGTTGAGAACACTGAGCTATACGATCAGCATGACTTCTGTTTTGCATCTTCCAGAGTTCAAAATCTTGCATTTTTCTGTGTTTTCTTGGTGGGTGGGGAGGCTGGCCATCTGTATCTCTTTCTTCTCTTGCTCTCTTACACATACACAAATGTGCGCTTACAAACACATACAGATACTATTTGGATATAAGTGCAAAACTGGAGAAG